CGATTGGGTACAGTCGAATGTATTTGACACGAAATTACAGAATATCTCACTAAAATCTGACAACCATGCAGTAAGCAGTTAATTTACAAACAATCAACCAATTGTCTGATTCTTGACTGTTCCTTCTGCAAATATCAGTCTACTGTCTCAGATTTCATTGTTCATGCATTTTCATACCAATTGCGTTTCGTTTCCATTCTTTCCTTATCAATCTTTTAGTGAAATACATTCTATGCATACTGCGTATGTGGATATAAGTAACCCACACTACAACAGTTCTTTTGTGATGTTAGTAATTGTGATCTTTCACATTTACCAATGTACTTGACCAAGAATTATTTATGGTGACATAGCTTTGTTCCATTTTTCTTCTATCTCCGAAATATGAGTAATCCTTTATGCCTATAAAGTCATCGACTTTTGAACTGAACTGTACAGATAACGTGGTTGGGGTCCGCTCAATTAGTAGTTGATGCCGCTCAGAATCGGTCATAATGACTCACGTATTTACTCTAGCTTCCTTTAAATCTTGAATTTTAAAATTACCTCATACTTTTCATTCCACAAGTCCATTCTTTCTTCCCAATCATATTCTTTATACCTGATGTTTTCTGATGTAGTTACTTGTTCTAATACTCCAGCCTTAGCCTCGTTAATTTCATTTCACTATACTGATATAGTGTGATAACGTGAAACGATACAGGTGTTTGCCAGGTTCTACGTTGCTTATGGTTGATTGATTTTAGACCTACTTCACTTCATAGTGTTTATTTTTTGAATAATAATAAGTTCAACAACTTATACAATTAAATAGTCATGTATTTGATAGACTGGATTGCCAGCTTCTTCTGAATTCTACGGTTTTAATATTGATCACAAGCATTCTAACACAGTCTGTAAAATATTATTTCTTGAAAAAAGGAAACATTACAACTAATAAAGCCGTTTGTCTGATCAATTTTTTTTACTTTTATACTTCATACAGTAAATTCATAATTTCTAGACGAGTAATTAACAAGTGTTAATCAGCACTGAAATGAGTTTTGTATAATGTTTTTTACTTGACAACGCGAAAAAAAACTTGTGTTGGTTTGTTTTGGTTCACTGTTTATTGAAATATTTCAAGCAAAGTTAGCTCAAATTCATCAATATTTTATCTGGTAATATTGAATTTTTCTCCTAGTAGTCAGTAATTTATATGCAACTTTACGACGTTTGTCTGGTGTCGTCATATTGAATTAAAGAGGTGTTTCATCGTATTAGGCAACAACGAAAAATAGGTTTTACTAAACACAAATATATTCACACAGTCATTCGTTTTGCTTTTGTTAATAATCACTGTAATTTTACAATCGATTGAGCACTGAGTGGGTAGTGATCAATGTCATACTGACGATTGAATCATGCCCATTAAGTGGTGGTGTGGCTTGATATTGCGTACTTTATTTCAAGGTTTTAAGTAACTGAAATTAATGGCTCTTCCATTGGTTAATCCTATATCAATTATTCAAAGTCGAACTAACTTTCACGTTTGAATGTAATGGTGAATTTCTATGTATTACGTATCTTAAATTATTACATCCTCTAAGTTCTGTTTTACGATATTTGAAATGTGTAATTTCATCGCACTTTAAAAAACCTAGTTTTTAAAATTTAGTTAGTACTCATTTATTGTCGCTTAATGTTATTCACTTTGCTGCTGAACTGCTAAGATGCTATAAAGAAACGTTTGGTGATATGACTCCGAATAGATTATAATTGTCCACGTGTATTTACTGTTCATCTAGATCTTGAGCTCCGATATTCCTTCATACATGCCGTCTTTTCTGCCTTTAAAAACTGTATTCTCTGGATCCAGCTTTCTTCACTATCATCGCTACTACAAATATGTCTTCAATGATAAAAAATTCACAATGAAAAAGGTGTCAAACAAAAAACTACCATTCTTGCATATACTGATCAACAGAACCAACTCAGAGAAACCGTAAACTCAGGTTTATTGAAAACAGATCCACACAGATCAAATTCTCAATTACAGTAGCAACAATCCAGGAACTCACAAAATCAATTACGTGGTAACTTTACTTAAGGAAGCGAGGACTCTCTTGCAGCTCGGAAGAATGATGACAAATATCTTAAGACTATCTTTCAAAAGGACGGCTGTCTACGCAACTTCATCAAGAAATATCAACCCAACTCAGCAGTAGAAGCGAAATCAAGTACAGAAACCACCAAATGGATCATCCCACCATAGTTAAAAAAAACTTATCAGAAAATACAATGAGATTATTGAAGCCTTTTGGAATAGATGTAACACATAAACCATCAAAATCACTTCAACCAATCCTATACAAACCAGAGGACGAAATGACAAAACAGAAAAACCATCTGCAAAATAAACTGTTTCAACTACGAAAAACACCACATCGGACAAATTGGATACTTTCATTTTCGCCTGCACGAAAATCAATTAGCGGTCAAACGCCATGACATATCTCAGTTTAAATCAATGTATGTGGGGACACACTGGACTGGAAAAATGATGGAATCCTAGATAGAGGGAATATTAAGAACACCAAAGGATTTTTAGGCTCTTGGCACTCTGAGTTAAAATTCACCCCATTGCATAAGCTAATGGCTAACTGGACTCAGTAACTAACTGAATGATGCGATGACGTTTGAAGCGATCGTTACTGGGTTCAAATTCGGGAGTTAACATCAGCTGTTGGATTCAGGTGCATCGAGCTAACCAGCCCCAAATAGAATGATTCATGCATCATTGACTCTACTGCTTGCCACTATATACACCTCTTTAAATTTCTAAAAATAATTTTTCTGCGTAAGTATAAAGGTACTTTATTAATCTATTCGAAATTCTATTCCATTATTCATCTATTTTAGTGTTTTTAGTTGACCTGAAATTAAAATTCAGCTTCACAAACAAGTAATCCAGAAATACTTTTTCGTCATGATAGTAATGAATTAATAATCCTATCACATGTATAGACAGCATGTGACAATACACATTATTATTATTATTATTGGTAGTAGTAATAGTATTAGTACTTAATGCAAACATCATTGAATCATATTTCTCAGAGTTTTGTGTTTTCATTCAGGTCAAATGAAGTTACCCTATTGTTACAATTTATAGGTGATATATATATATATATATATATATATATATATATATATATATATATATATAAACGGATTATACTTCCATAAGTAAACGTTTAATTTCTTAAATCACGTATCACGATAAAGCTTATTTCAGAACATTTTTTAATTAACATATATGTATTTCAAATAGTAAGCAGGTTTACGACACATATATAAACTTCAAACTGATATTGGCGCTTAGTGAATTATAGCAAAGATTTGTCTCAGATGAGTGATATAATGAGGGTAAAGTTCCTGATTAGCTAGCTATATCCTAAGAGGTTCGTGATTTGTGCTTGTGACAAAGTTAAAGCATAAAATAGTCGTATAAAGGGAAGTTTTATTAGATAGAGTTAATTAAGGCAACATAAAATAGATGAATTATGACTAGCAGTTAAATTCAGGACTTGTTAATAGAATGTACCTACACCTCAGTGCTGATGTTCATGTTAAGACCCGGACTTAGCACCTTTCTAAATTTCCAATGCATTATCCACTAAGCTATTGATTATAAATGATCATTAACTTGTTTAATGGAGCATAATGCCTTTATCATTATTAGAAAAGGTTTGAATTATCCCTTTGTTTATATTGAGGACTGAATTTTGATCAGTCCTAGTTGACATATATGCACCTTGTGCAAATCACTTCGACATAGCTATTCAGTCACAAGTTGTTGACATGGGATACAACTCAAAATAAGAAGATAGGACGAAACACGTATCCTAGATTCCACTGCTATCCACACTTCATCTATATAGTATAGATGAAGCTTATGAAAGCTTATGAAAAACGACTTTATCGAAGTTTATTCTTACAGGATGTACGTATGACAAAAAAGATTGACCAAAATTCAGTCAAATATATCAACAACCAAATAATTCAAACATTTAATATTGACAGTGTTTACTCATTCAATATCCCCATAGTTTCACCAGCGAATTGTTCTTCAGCGCGTATCTAAGTCAGTATTAGAAGAGAAATGTTCAATCTGTCAATGTTAATAAATTAATCTTAAGATTTCTTCAATGCTGTTACCTAACATTCCTCTTATCGAAAAACGTATGTTGCATCAGTCACTACTTGTTTATACTGAAATAACATCCTAGAAATTAGGTATTTCGAACACTCCTCAATCATTAGTAATAAAGTAACAAGATATTTTAATAATATGTTTTCGAACTAAAAACACATACTGTTTTCACTACTCATTGATGTAGAAGATTTTTGGTAGAATTACTTCAGGCAATATTGAGGCAGTCCGCACTGGATGCACATATGCCAACAAGAGACTGGTCAATCGCAGTCCTAAATAACAATGGGAAGATACAAGTAAACAACACCAAGTGAATTTAGGATTACTTTCTGTTTGAAATAAGATGGTTTAATTGTCAAGTTTTCATTATTCCTTCTGGACAATAACATCATCCTCAATTGACAGAATCATCCTCCAGAGTTGTCAATCTTCACGATTTCAAAATGGGGAAAATTTAAATACCTTACGATTACACTAAGTTAACTTTTTTATGACCATATCACTCTATTTCATTTGTAAGTGTCGTTTAAATCTTTTTGTTGTTATTGTAAAAGACTACAATTGTTGGTCTTATTCATATTGCCTCAACACTGCCATTAAGTCGCAACTATTTTAAGTTGAGTTAGATAGTAGCTAGTTGTGGAATTCACGGTGCATGTGCTCTCCTTTTTTGGATCTTGTCGGCTGGATATACATGCAATTAAAATTTTTATAAATACCTTTAAATTCTGTTTCTTGAAATGATTATTAGTGACGTTGTATGATTTCATATCTTCTTTTTTCCTGAATTAAATCTATGTAGGAAAAAAGTATTCAATTGCAATATAATCTTGAAAACATGATGAAACGTGGTTCTACTTTTATTCAAAATTTTGATAGTAAACGTCGTGAATTTGTCGATCAATTAGAAGATATTTCACATGAAGTTGTTCGTTCATTTATGCGTATTTTTGGTTCTGATGGTCATTTACGTCATTGGTGGTCATCACGTCGTTGTAAAAGACCTATATCATCATTGAATTCAACTTTTTATACACTCCAAACATCACCAACATGTAGCGCTAGCGAAGATGATGACGATGATGATGATTCAGAAGAACCATATAGTAAAAAGTCAAGAAAATGTTGTAGTATGACAATGTATGGGTCACATTCCAGTAGTCCATTTACTGATTCTGATGAACAGATAAATGAACAAAGAATGTACGTTTTAATGGCTTTTAGCCTATGATTATTATATTACTTTCAATTAACTTAATAATGATTTTTCCATTTTAGAAATTTCTGTTTTTGTAACAGGTTAATATATAAAAATGATCTTTGAGCAGTGAGGAATACTTGTTGTAAAGTCTTTTTATGAACATTAGACAAAGGTGCACTGTAACTGTAAAATTAGAAATTTGTTAGAATAGAAAAAATATGTAATCTTATCGGACTTCTGTCACCTCTCCATCTTACTGGCTACTTAAGATCAACATGTTTGATCTACGTGAAATGGTAATGATTTTTCATCGAAATATATTAATATTAGTAATGAATAAATAAATTCAACTACTCTTGTCTATATTTCTTTTTGAGAAATACTGTATATTTTAATAGTTGAGATCATGAGTCAATTGAAGCTAGACCACCATGGAAAACCTGGAAGCACTGGACGGCCGTTTTTTCCTATCGTGGGACTCCTCACCAGTGTGTATCCATGATCCCGATAGGTCTTGGGTGAAACGGCCTTCCAGTGCTTTCAGGTTTTCCATGGTGATCTAGCTTCAATTGACTCATGATTTCAACTATTAAAATTACTATAATATCCTCAAAACCCCTTCTGATATAAATATTCTATATGTTGATTAATTTGTCAACTCATCTATTTTTTTAAACGAATATTGTATGAAGTAGTATTATCAGGCTACTAAAATGAAAATAATGTGAAGCTCAGTCGTCTGAACGCCTATATGATTGTTATACAAGCATTATGATCACTTAAATTGATGAATTCATTCCATCTTCTACTAGTGATAATCATGTCAGGTTGTTTAAAGCAGTCGTCACAGTACCCTCGACCTAGCTTTCGTATTAGTTGACACTCGATTTACCTGCACATATCGAAGCATAGTCCATACGATATCCAGACTTGGCTACATAGCAATCGAATCAAAAAAACTTGATCGATACTACAGACTAGACAAACATGGCATTATTCACTAATCAGTAATTAACCAAAGTAAATGGTATTATTATCAAACCCCATTATTGTCATATAAAAAATATATCATCACCTACATTGAAATAACGTGATCAAATGTAATTGTAGTGATTATGTTAGTAAGAGGTTAAATGTTCCCTGTTTGTTGCTAAGAATTGGAATTCCTATCCATCTCTATTGGTATATGTAGATCGTAAATAGTATGGTCTCCATATCATCATTTAGTCAAAAAAGAATTTAATATGGGAATATCAACTGGAATGAAGTAATAATTTAACAGATTTAACAGAAAAAAGTGGACCCAATCACTCCACTATACTCACTTTGTTTCACTTATATCACCTATGGTCTCTAAACACATTGAAAACAATTATTTCATATTGATCATCCACCTATAGATCATCTGTATGTATATAGCAGTATGCATTGATCTTAATAATAAATAGGTAAATTTCCTAATTTCTACTTTTATGTTTCTTTTTCTTACACAACAATAGATTATTATGTAAAAAACGACCACGTGCCAATGGTGATGATGATTACCTATCAACATTCCAAACTGAAACTACCATAAGCAAGAATACTACTACTATAAACAGATTTACGAGTGAAACTCGACGTAATTCCTTCTCTCGACAAGGATCTAAAAGTGAACCTAGGTCACGTAGAAATAATTATCGCAGTCTACGTTATTGCACAGAAAGAAATTAAATCATTTACCGAAAAGAAATGATCTTTTAAAAGTGATCACCATTCAGGTCTCTTTTTTACATAATGCTTTCGTGTTTAGTTCATTCTGTCCATTTTTTGCATATCAATAGCCATAGTGGTGTGGTGCAATGTGATTTCAATAAACAGTTTGTGCGTATCATATCGAATAAATTCACCATTTATTTTTCAATGTAATGATGATCTTCATGATTACGGATCCTTATTGTCTTTACGCAGATAAATCGATGACATAATTTCTGTAAGGAAATATAACCAAAGTTTGTGGTAATAAATTTTCACCTTTGTATATTTAATTTGTATGTGTGTAAAACTGTTTGTTTTAATTGATATTTCTTGTTCAAATTGTAAGTCCCTATGTAAACGGGATGAAAAATTTTGTCTTAAGCTAATAATTTAGATCACGTTTAATTTTAATTCCTTCATGTAAAAGCAAATTGTTTGTGTTTTGTATGCCTACGGGGAATGATTCGCTTGTACACTTTTTTGAAAAGAAAAAAAAACAAACATTTCACTCAATTGTTATTAAATATGACTGAAAATTGTTTCAAATAATTTTAGCGAATTAAATACCAACATTTTGCTCGAGCTACTTCAGGAAAATAATCAAAACCCTGAAATTATTCAAACCTAAATCACTGAGATTATTTTTATTTTTAATACCTTTTACCTACTCGGTGCTAAATTTCTGTAGAACTTTTCTTTCAAATTTTGATGAATGTTCTTATAAATGATTACCACATAAAGCAGTATAGATTGTCTTTATAAGTAACACAGTCTCCTACTTTCATACGACTGAGTATATCAATAGAATCACAAGTAGGAATTGTAATGACTGATACAAATGAACAAAGCAAAACTTATACTTCCTCTCTTAGTACCTTAGTTCGTATAGGAATATTAAAAGACAACACCTAACATATGTGTAACTGTGACTTGACAGCTTTTTAGGTAATTGGAGGCAGTCATCAGAAAACCATGGACCCAGGGGTTGTGCCATTTGACACTCTTCGGCAATTTGTATATCTAATCAGTGGTAACGTCTCGGACTGTGAAACTGGGTGATGCACAATCGCATCTCTCAGGAAACATCATTTCTGTCAAAATCACTGGTACGCTTTGCTGATGAGTGCCAAACAGCACGAAACGCAGGTTGATAAAGATTTCCTATCGATTGTATCAAACAACCTAACTACTCAATATAGTTCATGTGATCCCAGTTCACTTAGACGCATTGCAATTTGAACGGTAGAATTCAAGTAGTACAAACAGGATGTGATAAACACCACACTAGCTACTACTGAATCAGTGATCATTCGATTGTAATCTAGATTCTAAAAATTATAATCCAAAGACTGTTGAGTCACGTGCAGCGATTAATTTAGTAACAGCGTCAACTAACCAATAAGAGTACTCAAATTACAAATATACATGTCAGTGAGCAGCTTAAAAGGTCGGCCTATAGATAAACAATATCTTTTTTGTAATAGACACCATTTAAGTATGACGTGTAAACTTCAATCACTCACAAATAATGTAGGACCCGAAGCCAATCAGTCATCATCAATTTAAAGCTTGGTACGAATGTTCATTGGCTCAATTTACCATACTGCTTTACAATGACGAGATGAAATCAACAAAATTTATGCCAGAAGAGATCGAAATAATTTAATTGTAATAACAATAAAGACTAATTATTGAGAATAGTCTTCGAAAAGACGGAGTGAAAGTATGTATACGTTGTAACACCTCACCTACGCTTGAGTTTGTATACGTTTAAACGCACTCAGCTTTTGTGGCCCAGTATCTGACTCTGATTTGGACGAACGTATAAATATGCTATGTACATAGATCTTCTATTTAACTTCGTATATTACCTAGTCTAACTCCGTGTGTGAGGCGATGATAAGAAGCCAAATACGAGTTACGTTCGATGAATTTATCCCAAGCTTTCGTTTATCCAGACAGACATTCAGAACAAAAAGCGAAGCGGATAAGGCTAGTAAGCCAACTGGATTTGATCAAGCGTGACTCGATATCTTCTGGTCGGACAAAAATAAGCTAACGGCATAAGATTAGTAGAATATGCGATGCCCACATATGGGCTCATATAAAAACAGTCAAAGTTAATAAGCAAATAATTGACAAGATCAAAATATGGCTGAAGAGGAATGAATAAATCGATCTGTCCGGAAGCTAGAATAACCTATGTGGGCTTGACATTGTTCTAGTATCTACAATCCCCTTCCATAAACTCATTTAGTAGGTAGTGCTATTTATGTCGGTAAGTTTGCCCATATCTTTGAGCCATTATCCCCATGCTTATATCGTCATGTATGCTTGATCACGTTTTACAGCCTACTCTATATTCCTCAAACTGGCTTAAATGGTTCAATGACTCATTCGCCTACTTATATATATGTGCTTCTTAAATCCCATTTATTCTCATTTTGTTCGTATTCTCTATGTACTCGTGGTCCAATAAACTGATCGTCGCTCTGTATTGCCTTCTGAAATTTATGCACCGCTAGGAGTTATCTAATAACGGTTATCACCATTACTGATGTACAAATCATAGGAATTTTTCAGAGATATTGCACTACAATATGAGGTAGTATTAGAATTCAGGACCCATAGGAAGATAAAGAGATAATATAGCTGGTACATTGTTGTGGCCCATTCTGAGTCATGTTACCCAAAGTCTCCAGCCAATGATCACCGTTGTCGTGCTAATCTCTACCAAATAGCCTGTCTATCAGCATGACTAAGTTTAACAGTCGAACACTTCATGGACTAACGCTACGTTTCAGTTTGGCTGTCCCTGAGTTCCTGTCATCTTACTCCTTCGTCAGAAAACACCACATGTAGGCGGTCTCTGAGTGTATGTAATATATATTCTAACTACCTTACTTGACGAGGACTCACAATCTTACCAGCTGATTTACTACCTTTCCCTAGTACTCTGCGTCTAATTATCTGGAGGTCCTAAGATACACAGGCAGTGCTTCAAAGACATTTTTGATCAAGCATTAGTAACTTACAGATGTTCTCTATTTCTAGAGACTACTTCTCAGTCATAAGGTAAAACAGAGCAAAATACTGAACTGTATAGTCGTCCCTTGGCTAGCAGACAGATAGCTCTCCTTCACTGTGGATGGTGAAAAATACAAAGCCACACCAAGATTCCTAGATCAGTGTCGAGACATTCTGTCAGACCCACTAGGAATTATGAAACTGCCAAGATAGAGTGGTCGACGCTTTCTGTTACTTTATTCCTCATCTTTGGTCTAGTTGTTGAAAGAAACCAGGCTTCAGGGAACATTTTGCATTTAGAGAGAGAAGCCTATTTCGAACTTCCGTACATTGTTGATTGAAAGGAAATGCATTTTTGCAGTCTTCACTGAATAGAACTGTGACACTTTCGTATTCTAAGTCCACAAATTTGTCTCCCAGAACAATCCCTGAAGTTAGAAGTGTTGTTGCCATAAGTATGCATATGGTGACGCTTAATAGAGATAGGGGGAGCTGGTATACCTGACGAACACTACTTGAGGTTGACAATGCTAATAGCAACTCCCCATAAGATGTGACTCAAGTAGAGAGCTTTCACAAATTTTATGTGCCTCCTCAGTCCACCTTTTTATTACAAATTTTGCAACAAGACATTCCAGCCGACATAATCAAATGGTACCTTCAGATCGACAAACACTACTCTTTTTGGATTTCAATAAGTGTCACTGTCCCAAAACCTGATAGAGGGTGTAAATTTGATTGATAAGTCCATGTCTCAAAACAACCTAGTTCCTCCGAGCTCGTTCACAAGCCTTACTTAAGCATTGAATTATTAATAAAGACACCATACTGTTCAAACTGCTCTCTCTTCAGCTATCAAAAGGGGTTTCTGTTACTTCCCATAAAATCAGACAATGAGCGGTCAGAACAAGTCAAGTGAAATTACCCCTCGGACAGCTAAAAGTAGACCACTATTATCAAGGATTTTCGGAGTAAACCCATTTGGCCTCTGCTCTTCCTGGCTTCACCCCCTGGTACGGGCGAGAGTGGAGAGAAGAGTACGTCCTCCCTCTCGAAATGCTCTCACATGGCCACGCGTATATAGCATCTACCAGGGAAGTCTTACTCACTGCCTTCTCGTGCCGGGAGTGTTGTTTACGAAATCGAGAGGACGAAAAGCGAATGTCCGGCACTTTAAACGGGTTGGTGACACGGAGAGTCTACCAAGGGGAGTTGAAAAACCTTGATTCCAAACCAATAGTGAACATGGGTTCCAGCATCCTAAGGGAACTAACGGAGTATGAATCAATTGTTGGCCACCAGTTACCATGGGACTGTATCTCCTTACCTTGTTCCACTGCCTTGTGGATCAGACCTCTAGGTCAAAGGCTCGAGGTGTGGCCCTCTAAGAAGTCCACCTGCTTGAGTTTGGGCACCTGGGCAGTATCACAGACCTCACACAAATCAAATGAGATTTGTGCGACGCATGTGTATCTGGTGCTTCCTTGTACCAATATTTATGTGTTTAAATAAATAAAACAATAATAGGCTATATTTTGACCCACAAAGACGTTGGTGCATCTACTGAAGTTATCCTACTTTCACTATCCAAAGGCAACCTATACAATCACATGTTTTGAACTTGTTATAAAGTTTAAAATCACATCAAGGTTCGATCAAATGTAGTGTAAAAATGAGTCATTATGGCTTGATGCTAGGTTCGTAAACTCTCCGGTTGATACCTACACTTATCCCGGTTAAAAGAAGAATAATTTGGAAGATATGGTGTTGCGGCTTCCCTATACTGTTATCCACTTTATTTGGACGTTTCAAATACGACCCGTGTACAAAAAAACAATCTAAAACCTCGAATGAGGCAAAGTACGAAATGGAATGTCTACTTTCACTAGTTATGGGCGGTATTTAACCGAAACTTACGTAACTTAGGATTTCATATGGACCAGGAAAAACTATCTGCAATGCGTCTGTATTGCATTTAAAAAATGTTTTTAGGTTTAAACGGAAATATGATACGAATATACTAGTTGAAATAGCATTAGTATTTGTCTATAAAGTCACACTCTTAGGACTAACAATGGGAATGAAGGTTTCAGAATATTAGGATTTTAAACACCATTCGGAATACACTGCAAGCTCGTTGGACACTGACGCCTCACGCACTGATGAAGAATCTTATTCATTAAGGTATAGTTTATTAACTATTTGCATCATATGAGTAAATCAACACGAATACCCGGACCATATACACCATGCTTGAAGACATTCTAAGTTGACGTACATCTATCACAACAACAGTTGGTCTTAACAAGATCAAATTTATTAGTTACTTATAAATGAGTAAAATAATAAAGGAATTGAAAGACAAAATTGTAAGTCAGTCCGTTTTCTTGCTGCTTTTAGTTTCTTCATGATACCAGTCAATAGGATTTTTATGGTAACATGGCCACGGTGGTAGTGCAACAAGGGCAGCGAATAGACAGCCAAACAATACTATTAAGACGCTGTCAGACAACTGTTGTTTGTAATATCCAACTGGAAATGCAATGATCTACAGGCAATTACTTATAAAGATGAAATTAAAAAACCTGACCAGGAATCCAATAACCAATAGGTTCATACATCTCTCAGCGTTTTTCTGACCCACAAAGTCCTTTGGAAATATTCATAAGGTATTAAACACTACCATATACATATTGTGTTTTTCTGCCCATACTCTTACGTCCCGCATAGATATCATGACGTCGAATAGTAACGCAATATTTCAACCTGCGACAAAGTAGAGAAACACTAAAACTTTGTTGAGCAAGTGGTTCTGGATGAAATAAAAGAAACATTCACTTAACGAGCTTCACTGTCTTGTAACAGGGCATCACCGATGTCTTCAAGTGAAAACCCATGCATATTTAACGTCAAAAAGAAAAAATAATAATAATGAGATACTGTTTTTAGACCTTAAGAATATATCAAGTTTCCTTTTGAAGCACTCCTAGGTAGTCTGTTGGACCAGCTCAACCATTAGCAAACTCCAGAATTTGACTACTCGGAAAAAGTAATGGGTGAGCTTAGTTTGTTCTGCTATGTTGTGTCTCTAATTCTCAGGGTGTTACCTCTGAGGTTTGTGTGGGGACTGAGCTTAAGTAGGTATGTAAGAGGATGCCAAAGAGTGTTTAGGTCGCCATTAGGTCACCTCTGAGACGCTTATATCCCACCAGGACATTCCATAGCCCAAGAAAAAGTGAACTTTACCCTGACCTTCAAAAGACGGCATGAAATCAGTCAGTTAGTTGTGACTTTATACCTGGTTGTGTGAGCTTATTGATATGACATATGATTGACCCTATCAAATGCTTTTGAGAAATCAGTTTTTAAGGGTTTTGGGAGAGGTGCTACCGGTTGGTAGCTTAAAGATTCGCTGCGTTGACGTACTTTGAAGGTTGCTGTGGTGTGAGCCATCTTCCAGTTTTTCAGAACTGTGCCTCAGTTTGCCGAAAGTGAGAACATCACACTAAGCGGTTTTGTTAAGGGTGAAGCCACTTCCCTCATTATAACAGGGTGAGTCATATCCGGGCTAGGAGAAGTGTCCTATTGAAAACGTTTCCTAGTACTGACAGCAAACTGATGCCTCTTTAATTCTCACATTTGCCCAGATCTCCTTTCTTTCGAATCTTGATGAGGTATCCTTCTTTCCAGTCTGTCAGTGGCACTTGTTTCTCTTCCAAATCTTGCTCAGCAGAAGGTGAAGAATGGTTGCAGTTACTTCAATGTCTGAGTTCAGTGATTTAGCTGGTACATTGTTAGGTCTTGCCACCTTCCCACTCTTGATCCTGTGACCATTAGTGGCTCAATTTACCCTGTTTAACTCTCACTAATGCCAGCTATCATTTTTGTCTTGCAAACTTAGGAAAAGGTCAGAGCTGTCTTTAGGGTCCGTGATAATAAGAGAATCATTGAAAACCGTGATCCCAGATTTTCAGCTACGCAGGGGTCGGAATCCTTATTGTTTGGCATTTGTACTACGATCCTGATTACCATGCATTTCGGTGACTGTTTGTTAAATCTTTGAAGTATATTGAACTGCTGATTCATTTGCTAATTTTATTACGAGACCTGAACTGTTCAACATCTTCAACAGTGACTTTCGATCCATTTTAACTCTGTAGAGGAAGGTCCATTTTTCTACAGTAGACGTTTTCGGGGACTGTAGGGCTCGGGTGGTTAGCACAAGCTTGCCAAGAGAGTCTGACACTGTATATTTTATGGCGGTGCCAAGTTTTGGCATATCCTCACCAGTTTTGGTACGTGTTCCATCGATTCTAATGTTATCAAAGACCCTTTTCTCTACATCACTGATTAGCTTTGTTTATTTATCCATTCCAGAAATTTCTTTTTTCAGGATCCCCAACAACTTAATCCACAGACCTGTCAGGAAAATGGTGGTGTTGCTCAGTAAATCCTTAGTATTCGTGTCACTCGTGCCACATACCCACTTGCGACCTGACTTAATAAGTCTGTCGTAAGCAGTTACTTTGAAATCTGTACATGCTTCTCGAAGCCAGCATTTGCATTTGTCACACTGTGTACCACAAGTGACAAAAACATGCTATTTAAGCCGCCTACATATGTTCTTGATGACCGTGGTGAAATATAAGTTGTTAAATAAATCCTGGCAAACGTTTGCGGCCGTGAAAACAGTGATTATTTTTTTGTTGATTAGGCTACGATCTTGGATAAGAGGATAACACCCTTAGGTACGGTAACGAAAAATCCTTTTTTTGTTCCATTTGAGTGTAAAGGACTGAAACACAAGTTATTAGTGGCAGGAGTAACACAGTGTCTCCCTCAGTACGTACTGGACCAAAAGAAACGTCAAGTATTTTCTACCATTCAGGTTGTAAGTTCAAAGCAACTAAGAGAATTTGGTAGGTTTCATTTTTGGCCAGAGCACAATACTTCTGTTTGAGCCTGGTCAGTGAGAGTGACATCACGCTTAAGGTAATAAGGCAGAGGGTATGAATTTCTCAATATAATATATTAACCAAATGCAGAAAATCATATTCAGTAGATAGTATTGAAATGCTTTCGAGATAATCCCTATGATTTGTACATCAGTAATGGTGATAACCGTTATTAGATAACTCCTAGCGGTGCATAAATTTCAGAAGGCAATACAGAGCGACGATCAGTTTATTGGACCACGAGTACATAGAGAATACGAACAAAATGAGAATAAATGGGATTTAAGAAGCACATATATATAAGTAGGCGAATGAGTCATTGAACCATTTAAGCCAGTTTGAGGAATATAGAGTAGGCTGTAAAACGTGATCAAGCATACATGACGATATAAGCATGGGGATAATGGCTCAAAGATATGGGCAAACTGTTACGGACATAAATTACACTGTCTATTGAATGGGTTAATCAGGGTGCCTAAGACACTTTATCGTGTACAAACTCAGACATAGATAGGGGTGCTAAAAGTTTGGAGACCTTGTTCGCACAAGTTCTAGAGGGAAACTATAGAACGGTACGGTTTGTTGTTTTCGGTGTCACTGTGAGTCGAATTACAGAATATTACGTAGATTGAAAGCCGAGATTCTTCGGCAGTCATGAGGCCGATGCCTGTTTTAACCACCAGAGTAACACTCTTTATAGGTACATGGAACGACCGAACAGGTAAGGGAAACTCGGAACACCAGTCAAATAGCAATGGACATGAGGGGATAAAGATCGGTAGTAAATGAAATCAGCGAAACCCATTGGACCCAAGCTAGACAGCAAAGGCTAGATACGCGAGAGATGCCATTGTACTCCAGTCACAAAGAGGAAAATGCTCCACACACTCAGAGAGTTGCTCTAATGTTGTCCAGAGAAGCACGAAATGCACTTGTAGGATGGAGATCTCATGGATCCAGAATTATCAAAGCATCATTGAAAACAAAGAAGAAAGGAATCACAATGAATTTTATCGACTGTTGTTATGCATCCACGAATGAAAGCAACGATGACGATAAAGATCAGTTCTATGAGAGGCTGCAATCACTCATAACCAAGTGCCCAAGAAATGACCTCACCATTCTGCTGACAGGTCTAAACGTCAAAGTCGGAGTGAACAATCGGGAGAAGGAGAAATGAAAATAGGGAGAGATTTTCAAATCTGTGTGCATTCAACAAATCAGTCATGGGCGGCACAATATTTCCATGCAAGCGGACAGATAAAGCTAAATAGATTTCGCCGGATCACATCACAGATAATCAGATAGATATTATTTGAGTCAACAAATAATTCCAGAGGACAATGGAAGATGTGAGAACCAGGATAGGAGCTGCCGCAGCTTCAGACCATCACACATGGCCAAGATGAAACTGGAACTACAAGAGCATCAGACAACTGGACAAACGGAATTAAGAAAGTTCAATACAACCTTACTTCGAAACGCTAACAAACTAAAGGGATTCAAGATAGCTCTCAACAACAGCTTCCAAGCTCTACAGAATCCACTGAAAGAAGAAAGTATGATGTAGGACAACTGGAATGGGATCAAAGAAGCATTAACTTCAACATGTCAGGAGGTTCTGGGTCACAAGAAGCATCATCATAAGGAGTGGATTTCTGTAGGAACCCTGGACAAGATTGAAGAAAGGAAGAACAAGAAGACAGCAATTAACAATAGTCGAACAAGAGCAGAGAAAGTCAAGACACAAGCTGAATATACAGAAGCAAGCAAGCAAGTGAAGAAGAGCATTGAAGCTGACAAGCAGAAATAAATAGGAGTATTAGGGCTACATACGACAGTGTTATGATCACTATCTGAAAACTTTTTTCCAATATACACAGTATTGGGGGTGAGGCCACTGGTAAAGACTAAGTCCAAGATATTTTGATGTCTGGTAAGGCTACTAACATATTGAGTCCACTGTCCTAGTTCTAGACATTCAATAAATGATTCATAACGTTTCGGAGCTTTGACTGGAAAACAAGAAATTTCAGGCATGTTGAAGTCACCACAAATGAGCTTGCCTGTGAATGGAAAGGATGATGCCAGTGTGAATACCTCTGATAATACTGCTATTTCACCTATTGACAAGTTAGGTTTCTGGTAGATATAGCCGAACAGTAAGGTAATGGAATTTGATGGCTTTAAAACAATCCACACCGAGTCCTTCAGTTTGTTTAGTTCAGGCATATCGCATGGTAGTGAGTTTAAGCTAGATTGAGTACTGGCAACAATGGCGGAAAAGGCTGCAAATGAAGGGGATATGAGACAACTATATGATACATCGAAGAAACTAGCAGGGAGATATACCAAATCAGAGAAAATCATTAGGGACAAAGAATGCAAGACAGCCACGGAGATTCAAGAACAGAGGAGCAGATGTGTGGAACGCTCAGTGAAACTACTAAATTCACCGGAAATCGAAGCAGCACACACAGACATTTCTACAGATATCACTACACCAACGATCGAAGAAATTGAGATGGCCACAAGACAAATCAAGAACGGGAAAGCAACAGGACCTGACAATAGGCCGGCTGAAGCACTGACATCACATATAGAAACAACTGCGAACATGTTGCACATTCTATTGAGGAAGATTTGGGGAGAGGAACAAGTGCCACTGACAGACTGGAAAGAAGGATACCTTATCAAGATTCGAAAGAGAGGAGATCTGGGCAAATGTGAGAATTAAAGAGACGTGGAGTTACTGA